TTAGCATGAAATCCATCATGAGATCATGGGCTTCTCAACTTCATTCATCCTGGACATGTGGCCCAGTCACTTGACAGAAGAGTGTGATAAAAGTGCCCTTCAGCCCTCATTACAGACCTTTCCAGTAAAATCCGCCAATTATTTTGCAGTGAAATTCCTTTCAAGCAGGGAAGATAGCAAAGGGATACAGAAGGGGGAATATGGAAATCTGCCTGGAGGAGCCTAAAACTTGTCGTACAGATATCACAGGAAGGGGGAACCTATAAATGGACTACAGAAGAGCACCTACACCTAATGAGCTTTATAACAACCCATTTCTAACAGGCCTTTACCTCGCTGGGTCTGAGAAGGAGAAAAGCACTCTTCAGTCAATGCCCACCAGCACCAACTCCCTGCACTGGGACACAGAAAGCTATTCCAGAATGCTATCCACCTCCACAAATGCACACATTACAGGCAGTCCTTGACTTACAATCATAATTGGGACCAGAATTTCTGTCGCTAAGCGATGCAGTCATTGAGTCATGCCCGATTTTATAACTTTTGCTGTGATCGTTAAGCGAATCACTGTGGTTGTTAAGCAAATCATGCGGTCATTAACAAATCCAGCTTCCCCCACTGATTTTGCTTGTTGGAAAGGTCGCAAATGGCGATCATGTGACCCCAGGACACTGCAACCATTGTAAATACATGCCAGTTGCCATGCACCTGAATTTTGATTACGTGACCGCATCATAAGTGCGAGAACTGGTCGTAAGTAACTTTTCAGAGCTGTCGTAACTTCAAACGGTTGTTAAATGAATAGTTGTAAGTCGAGGACTAGCCGTATCTAAGGATATTTCTGCACTTTCCGCAATACCTGAAAAGCAATTTGAAACCAATCTGTGATGTCTTTTTTTTTTTTAAATTTCCTGATGTTACACGTTTTCCAGGAAGCAAGCCAATCCCCCCCAAGTCTCAACTCATTTTCAGTTTCTTATTAACAGGGGACTGCAGAGGCATCACACCTATTTTATCCGTGAAAGATGAGACCCTCAGAAGCCAGGAGCCATGGAGAGGCAGGAGTTCTTGCAAGCAGAGAAGTGGACTGACTGAAAACTATATTGGCGTCGCAAAGTTTCTTTGCTTATTTTAAAAGTTCTACTGCAATTCCAGATACATCCACAGCTGAACTAGAACTAAACTGGTTCAGCTTTTTAGTACGGGAGCTGCTTTTGAATTTTGAGCAAAATTCTTGCATGGCAGTGTCCAACTGTAACCAGGTTATTTCTCTGATCTACTCCTACTCCATTGGAAAAAGCAGAGTGCGCACTGGTGAAACCAACAAACCCAGCCTAGCTATGCAAACCTTAATGAGAATCTACTAGCTTGGAATGGCTATTCGCCTATCGCTCCGCGTAATATAACTTTATGTTGCCAATGTCTTACCCATAAAGCCGTGAGCATGTGATGAATCCATTCTTGAGTCGTTAAAAGCCCAACAGGCATGCTTCCCCCCTGTGCGCATACCTTGTGCCGGGATCTGTGGAGTATGGGAGCCATATAAAGAGAGAATGGAGTCCTTAGAGAGCTGTTTCTTCCCTGTCTCTTCAACCCTGCTGTCGGGCTCAGGGAACAGGTTCAGCTTTTCAGGAACAGATCCAGCGCTTCCAGCTGTGGGCATTGAGCCAACAACCTGGTGAGAGAATATTCGGTGTTTATTTCCGAAGGTGGAGGGCAAAGAACTGATGCAGCACTTTTCTTAAATGTTCCAGTTCTTCATTTTTCAAAGTACTGCATAAACTAATTTAGCGTCCTTAGAAGAGTTCTGAAAAGTAGGCGGGATCCATCTCCTTCCCCACAGATGGGAGATGAAGCCATCCAAGGAGAAGTCAACAAGAACCAACCCACTGAGAGACAGATAAGCAGAGGCTCAAAGGATTAAGAAAGAAAAATGGCCAAGGGCAGCGCAATGTCCTCCAGATTTCTCTGGGAACTCTCCACATCCTCAGTAAATAATGGACGGGTTCACATCTTGCTAGGCCGAAAATGAAGAAACCATATTTTCTTCATATTGATATATTTTACATATTGATCTGTGAAATCAGCCACTGAATTGAATGTGTAATGAAGATCTTGTTCATTGAAAGATTAGGCATGACTCGCACATTAGTGAACACGCAAATTATAATTTAGAACTCTTTACTATTTTTATTATGTATGTGCTTATATCTAAGCATAGTTCTAGACCTATTTTTCCCCAGAACATTCCTGTGAGATAGGCTGGGATGAGACTGAGGGTCTGGCTCAGGTCACCCACTGAACGTAACTACACTTTCCTCACCTTTCTCTCAGCACCCATGGATCCAAACAGGTCCAGGTCCTTCTCCAAACAGCTGCTGGCTCTTCCGTTGGGGAGGGCAACTGAAACGGGAACATCTGGGAGAAAAGGGGGAAGATGGTATCAGGGAACAGCAGCAAAAGTGGCTTCTTGGGATCACCCAAAGGATCAGCTTCCCCAAGTGAGTGCCCTCCAGAAGTGTTGGATTTCAACACCCATAGTCAAAGGATAAATTTAGTAAGCAACAGATTGGGGAAGGATGTCTTGGCCTTCTGCACTGGACGATCCCCAAATCCTGTGGAAATCAACATGTAGCTGCTAGGGTAGATCTGGACAGCAGAGAAAGATCTAACTTTCCAATTATCAGTTCTGCTTTTCCCCCTGCCCCAGCTGATGTAGTGGATTGCATGTATTCTATTGCCAATAGTTCACATTTCCGAATTAAGTTGTTCTCTTCGAGTTGTATAAATTACTATGCAACTTAGTGTGTATTCTTCTATTTTATATTTCTTTGACTGTGTTACTGGTAAGGAGGACAAGGAGCCATACTGAGTAGTATGAAGTCCCATCTTGCTCCCCTGGAATTCTTAGCCACAACTCCTGTTTCTGAGATTTCATCAACCTTACAAGTGTGACTTGGCAGCCATAAACATAATACCTGGCAAGCTGCTTTTATTTCCGTGCAAAAGATAAGATTCCTAGAAAGCTAAACAATGAGCCAACATCACATGTGCATGGCTGTACCCTATAGATAGCTCTGGTTTTCAGGACAAGTAAGAAAATATTCCTTTGTGCCTTGTGTCCCCTTAGTTCACACGTCACGCTTAGAAAGAAGCAATCTGGAACTTTTAGCTTCATCCAGATGGAGAGAGAAGAAAAACAGCATGCCCCCTTGTGCGCTCTACCCCAGACTGGGCATTAGCCAAGTCTCAGCCATTAATAGCCTGCACTGCAAAGTGTTTTTGGCCCACAGCATTGTTTAAGCCCAGCTATCTGGATCCTGCAGTAGCGATGGAAACCACAGGCCTGCCTGCTGGGCTGTGAGGAGGCTTTAAAGAGGAGTAAAGCCTGGAACTTCTGCTACAGAAGACAGCATCTGAACACCATAAAGGGTTTGCTCCAGCAGTCCAACCAGGGAATCGTTTACTTGGAACTGTAAAGTACACTTGGACAAAGGGGGGAGAGAAAGAGGACACGCAAGAGGCAGAATTTCAGAAAACAATACCTCTGCCTCTTTCCTTTGCTCCATTAAGAAGCTGCTGCAGCCCAATTAAGTAGGAGCCAAGCTGTGTTGCTCTTTAAAGAATCTAAGCCAGTGTTTCTCAGCCTTGTCAACTTTAAGGTGTGTGGACTTCAACTCCCAGAAATTCTGGGAGTTGGAGTCCACACACCTTAAAGTTGACAAGGTTGAGAAACAGTGGTCTAAGCATTAGGGAATAATGAAGCCGCACTCTAAACAGCAGAAACCAACAGAAACTTGTAAGTGAAAGAGAACCAGTTTTTAAGCATGAAGATGTCCTATGACCAAAGAGTCCCTTTGGCTAACAAGTATCTGTGCTGGCTGGCAACAACTTTCAGACTGCAGAGAGAAAGAAGCTGGAGATCCTTCTAATGGAAGATGTCAGGGGTTGCCCCTGGAAGGTTCTAGGAGCCTTCTGCGTGCCAACTGTCTGCCAAGGGGTAGGGCTTCTCCTCAAACAGCTCCTGAAAAGGAAGTCTTTGGTGCTCACCATGCACTGTACACAGGAATTCATTCCTGATACCACAGGTCAAGTACTGAAGTCTGAACGGATGTTCCAGCTCATTCCACCTTAGAGTGGTTGTGTTTCTAAGCTACCAAGCTGGGAAGTTGGGCAGAAACCTTGTCACCGCAAGCCTGGCAAGACAGTTTGTTTGAGCCCAATCTATGGACTCTCATGTTCCTGCCCATGCAAATTGCACCATTCCACATTCATACTACCCACCCTGAAGACTGACCTTGCTGCTCTCCTAACAGAATAGAGAATCTCCTCTTCTGCACAGGGTCTCGTTATAGATCCCAAAGCATACACCAAAAGTAGGCTCTGGAATCCACCATAATCACCCAACCTCTAAACGGTTCCTAGGCCAAGCCACCAGAATTTGATCATTTCAGCACAACGGACTTCACTGCTTAGGGAACCTCTCCCCCAAATTTCTCACTTCTCATTCAAAACCCCACACGGGACATGGCATCATCCTGTTTTGACCCCTTTCTCTAGCTGCCTATCAAGAAACAGACCGACAGTATAACCCAACTCACATTTTGTTAAAACAAATCAGTGTTTCTCAACCTGGGCAGGATGATGTTAACTAGTTGGGTAATGAAATGTCTGCAAGCAA